CATCAGCTTATACCAGATCTTCATTTTTCGCTGCCTATTCTCTCTGGCTGGCCCTGCCTCTATCAGTAAAATCGTCTTGTACCCTAAATGATTTCAAGGCCAATATGAAGCTCGTGTTCTAATAGAGAGTTTCTGCTATACGTCAAACGTAGAGAAATCACGTAGAGAGCAGGTGTCTGGGTTAGTGTCTATGGCTTTGTATGTTTTGGGTCCAGATTTCTACGCGGAGATGAGGTTCTCTACGTTGTGGCACACGCAAAGAAAATGCGTACGGATTGGATGGGTATCGATCAACTGATGCAGAAAACTGCCAAATATAGAAGGGAAATTCCCAGTACTCATTCCACGTGACTTCTCTACGTGAAGAGTAGAGCAGAACAGGATTTCTTTACGTTACGGGAACGCGAAGAGACTTCGCGTGATTCTTTGCATCGCATTCCCGAAACGTAGAGCAGAACCTCCCTAATAACTGCTAATTCTTTATCGAGGTTTGATTCTCTTTGCCTCCAGTAATGTGTAATATCTGCTTTTTGCTTTGTTTTTGTTTACTGCCATGGCTGGCTACTGCCCCCTCCCTCCATATTGGCCTATAATCTCTGGCCACGGTAAGGTGAAATAAATAAAAATAAAATAAAATTGCATCGCAGCTCAAAGAAACTATTTGATCGCTAAACGAAGTGGGACCCATGCCGCTCGTCAACATTTACAACACTTTCGTTTCGACAAGTTCTCTCTGACTCCATTATCGATATGAGGAAGAACTCGGTTGTTGTAAACGAGACGTGCATGACTGTATCAACATGAGTGAGTTGTCATTCTTCCTGCTTTCGCGCGGAATAGTTCTTCCAGTTCACAGTGAGTTTTTCCAGGCAGCTCTCGAGTGCTCATACGGTAAGACGGCAATCTTGTATGAACCATATAGCTGGCTGTACTTCTTGAAGAAATGAAGAAAATCTATCTGGCCGCTTTTGGAAAACGCCCGGCGGAGTACAGATATTTGCGTTCCGAACCGAATGATTCTAGTCTATACATGTTGCCACTCACCGACTTACAATATTTAATGCTCGCTCCATAGCAAACCAGTCGGGCGAACTCATTCAAATCGGTGAATACGACGGAAAGCGCCCCCTCAAGCTCCAACACCAGGCGCCGCTCCAGACGCCAGCACGCCAAACACTGCAGCGTGATCACCTCCATCGAGTCTGACAAGAAATTTGAACTGACAACCCTTGCGAATTTTACTAGCAGCAAACCTCAACAACATATATTGAACAAATCTCGATTTGAACGATCGAAGCACGATATTTATGCTTCCTGAAACTGGCCCTGCGCCGACCACCGCTTGACAGGCGACCCAGCAAGCGCAAGCTACTACTGTTTGTATCGAGGTGCCTTCATGGGAAATCTAGTGCCACATTGTCTGTACTGTTCGTCAGATCTGCTGACAGGAGAACCCGTCTTCAGAGGTCCAGTGGTCTGCTCAGTGGGTGCGTTGGATTACAAACTTGAATCGATTCATGAATTCATTCGTGAATCGATTCAAATGCGCAATTTCTTCCAAGTAATCGAACGGCGTGAACATGGTAAAATAGCAATAAGATTTTGGTTACGTGGTCATGACGTTGAACAAAACTTAAAGGAAAAGGGCCGTAAGTCGTAGATTTCACGAAACAACTGCTGTTTGATACTGACTTTCTTCTCATTGCTTTTCTTTCACATGTACTTGTACACGATGTAGTCACTTTCGCATGTAGAATATTCCATGTTTACTTTGACGCTAAGTGTCGTCTGAAAAATGGACAATGCCGAGGCATTCCCGATCTGGACGGTGTTTGATGATGACGAGACAGAAGAAATGCTGTTCCCTGCTCGGTGCAATATTGCTCCGTTTACGATGTTCCTTGTTTGTTACTGGAGCGCAGCAGTGCCAAGAGTAACACATTTTGCTGAAGCAACTGTGCCCAGTTATTCTATGAACAATTTTTGCCAGCATTTTCTTCTCCCTCCTTTATCTTGCCTTTCCCCTATTGTGTTGCTGGAAGAGGTTTGATGGAGTTGTGTGCATGTGCATGTGGCGGACCAGTTTAGTACCGTCATGACTTTTCAACACGTGGCTTCTTTTCTTTTCTCTTTTCACATCACCCCATGTGGATCCGTGGAATCGATTCCGAATCGATTCCAGGGCTCACGACATGGAAATCGAACGACTTGAATGCATGCGAATGGATTCATGAATCAATCCGGGTGAGTAATCGAAAGAACTCAGCCGGGCCATCCTCCACTCGCTCTGCCGTTCCTCGGCCGAAAATCGCAGGATCTGCACTCTGGAACCTGCTGCCAGATGATGTTGGGACCATAGCAAGACAGAACAAGTTTAGCATAAGTTGCCTACCATATTGTTGGTAAGATTAGCCCGCCCCTAGCTCTCCTCAACCACCCTGTCACCCCTGATACTCGCTTGTCAGATACTTTCGTAATTTTCTAATTCCTGTCCTCTCTTTTCTAAAGGCGGCCTATCCATTCGCCTCTATAACATTGGGTCTAGTTCCTTTTTGTGTGAATTAAAATAAGTCAACCCACCAAGCAACATAGCAGATCGACGGATTTGATCGAGCTGATCGACAATCAAGATCAGAATCAAAATCTGGACGATGAAGGCTGATCAGCAACACGATGTTTGCGTACATTTACCCGAGTTGCCGGAGTTCGCAGCATGCAGCAAGGTGTGGGTTTTCCTCAGGTTCGGTGAGGAGCGAGCGTACGTCTGCTTGTTGTAATTTTCTTGTAGAGCAACTATTTGTCTCCAAAAGGTCGACACTCTAATCAGTGACAATGCAGAGCTTGTTGACCGCGCAGCGTTTGGTCTCAGCGCAACTCCATCGACCTGGCATGAAGGATATTTTGAAAATCAGTTCGTAATGAAAATTCGATTTCTAGGACTCGGATGACTATGCTCAAAACCCCAATAATGACTATTGTGTTGAGCTCATCACGTTATCTGGTTGCAGGAATATAGATCAGGTGGGAATAGAGGTATTATGTCAATAGGAATCAACTTTATTCTCTTTGTCGAGCTATGTCGCTCTGGCAACAGATGTCATCCATGCGTGAAACACTAAATTACTGTTGGCATCCTAAAAAATGCACGAAACACACGACCAACTTACCAGATACACGAAATAGCCGTGGATGCATTTCCGTGCCCAATAAGTCGATCTCTCCGGGGTGCACATGAAAAGAAAGTGCTCGAACCTGTCATACCTGTCATACTGGCCAACCCTCCCGGTTTTCCTGGGAAAATCCCGGGAAATCAACACTACTCCCCGGGTCCTGGGGATTTGAAGGAAAATCCCGGAAAAGGCACAGTTTCGTCTGATACAGGATTTTCCTGAAAACTCCATGGATTTGCTTTGAATGTCAAGGTTTTTTTCAAAAATATGTGCGGTGCGCAATTGCACTTCGAACTGTTAACAGCACTTTCAAGACCTGACCACAAGATCTGCACTGACAGGCGCTATAGGTGGGCGCCGACGCGTCGACTGATCGAACTGCAGTGCAGGGTTGAACTGTGCCGTGCGCAGATCTGCAGAGTTGAATTTTTTTGGCGGGAAAAGCCCCTTTCACTTGTTTTTGTGCCATCCAGGGATTTTGCGAAAAATCCAAGGATTCTGCATGTATTGTCAAGGGATTGAGATTTTGGTGGTTGGTCAGTATGCTACGTGGTCGAAATTTCAAATGATATTCCTGGAAAACAGGTTGCAGCTAGATCCTAAATCATGAAGTGCAGGGCATCGTGTCTCTTCATGGTTTCACTCAAGCAGCATTCCATCATACATCACAGTAGTAGCATAGCAAATATCATGTTGCTGATCAACCTGATCATCTAGATTTTGATTCTGATCTTGTATGTCGATCAAATCGATCAAATCCGTCGATCTGCTATGTCGATCTGCTTCGATCGCACAAATCGAGATTTGTTCAATATGTTTGCACTTCTGCAGAGCTTTGCTGCTAGTGAAATTCGAGTTGTTCAGGGAAGGAAATGGTTGTTGTTTGGAGTGACAAGGGTTATCATTTCGAATTTCTTGTCAGACTCGGTATATGTGACCACGCTGCAGTGTTTGGCGTGCTGGTGTCTGGAGCAGTGCCTGGTGTTGGAGCTTGAGGAGGCTCTTTCCGTCATCGGGTATGAAATTGGCAATGTTGCAATGTGGTGAAGTAAAAATATTTGAATTTGTTTATTTCGAGAAAACCTGGAACTCGTTTTTACGAGACATGTCCTGGGTGGTAGTGGAGTATAGTCCACTATCCTGCAGTGCTGGTGTCTGGAGCAGTGCCTGGTGTTGGAGCTTGAGGAGGCTCTTTCCGTCATCGGGTATGAAATTGGCAATGTTGCAATGTGGTGAAGTAAAAAATTTTGAATTTGTTTAATTCGAGAAAACCTGGAACTCGTTTTTACGAGACATGTCCTGGGTGGTAGTGGAGTATAATCCACTGTCCTGCAGTGCATGGTTCAGAAAAATAGAGGACTTAAATGGCTCCCGCTATGGCCCTTGACATTTGGCTATTCTAGCGATGCGATTTAGTGATATTTGGAGATGATGGCCATTGCTTTCCTGGATGTAGCCATGGCTCTATGTGGTGGTGATGTGAAGACTGCTCAGGTGAGGTAATGTTGGCATGGTGGTGGTTTGTTCTTAGCTCGATTGCGTACGCTGTACCAGCGCTCATTTTGGACCCAATATTCATTCATATTTTGGGCCCATTTTAGCCAAGGTGTCCGTAAGTTATGCAACGAGCCCTTTTGCATGATTGTTTTAGACCCCAAAGGAAACCTACTTGCTAAATTTGAGTGACATCAGAGAGATGGCCCGCCCAGCGTTTCTGGTTTTCTCAGATAATTATGCTCTCTTAAAAATGCTACAAGATGAAAACCTTAAATTTCCCTGTCAAAAGATTACACAATTTCCAACTTTCCTTCATACTCTTTCCCTGTTCAGGTATTTGCAATATAATAATCTCCGCTATCTTCCCGGTGGACTGCCTCATGACACACCTCACTTAATTCATCTGTAAGTCTTGCCTGACAAACAAGACTACACACATTCCCAGTATTTCATGATTCATCCGTTTGCTCTTCCTCTAAGGATCTCTGCAGACCTGGGATAGTGGGTAGGCTGGGGATGCTGTTGAGGATAGCCATCGGAAGTGGCCCTACTATTGTGACTATCGAGTATGCAAGATAAGTAACAAAGGATACTACTGTCGATGACAGTGTTACCAAGTGGCCTCTACCCCCATGCGTATTGCCCAGTGCCATTTTGCAGAATTTTTCAGAGGTTTCCGTACTCGTTTTTCAGGTCAACATTTTGACTGATTTAGTTCAACTGTAAAGGCTACGCACAAATTCAGTACAATTTTCAACTTCACTAGGTTATAACTCTGTTCTACTTCGCTTGATTTTCACAATCTAGGGCTCGTTGGAAAGCTCTAGGCAGGAGCAACGCCAAGATGCCAAGCACCATTATGAAGCCGCCACAAATCAGGCGCCGTAACACAGCAAAGTCGCCTCCAAGCCTAATATGCAAGCAAATCGTCCCATCCACACCATTCGATTCTCCTTCATCGCAGAACGCTCAAAATTGTTCGAGACGATTCAAACTTCAGCCGGCTACATCATTATAAAGTGCTCAATTGCTCAAAGGGCACGCAAAAAAAGGACCCCCCAAAAAACAATGGCGAAGAGTTCGATGAAAAATTTGTTTTTGCCAAGGTAAGAATACCTGAATACGGCGCACAATATCTCTGGAGTCGGACTTCGCTTCAGCGATTGTTGCATTGGGCGGCTTGGAGTTTTTGCTACCGCGTTGACCCTTCGATTGTTGACTTTGCACACGAAACGATGGAGTTATGATGGTTTTAGTAATCGATCATATACATGATCGTTTGCGGGATATTCGGTTGAAATCCGTACTGCGGACAAAACTTCGTTTTTCCGTAAAAATACGGACAAATACTGTCGGTTGTCAACACTGCGATGATGAGGAGTATGAGTGTGATTTGCTTAGTTTATGATGCAGTTTTATCATAAGCAGATCAAGACTTTGCAGTGTATTGCAAATTCCTGTAGGAGGACGAATAGCTTCTTTCGGCTCATACCCACACATTATTTCATACATCTACTTCGAAGTAAGTTTATACATCTCTTATACATCTAAGTTGGTAATCGACAGGCACATCAGCAAGATGTGCAACCTCCGCCTAGAAGAAAACCTGCAGATAACTGAGATAATCGCTGCAGACAAGGCAACGCTACTGTATTGTAGAAGTGAGCTGTATGTAAATGACTCGCCAACCAATTCCTACTCAAGAACCCCAGTGCAGCCATGACATAATCGCAGGTGTGCAACCACCCCTAAATCGCAATTTTGTCTCTCACCCTCTACCTTCGCTCTCCTCCCTCTTCCCTGAGCCTCGTGCTGCCCGTTGTTCGAGGAGCCAAACCACCCAACCCATTGCAGTGAACTCATTGCGTACTTCTGATGGTGTCAATTCTTTTTCGAACCGTGCTGCGTTGTTCTTTAATGTGCTACCTTCTGAACTACGCAGTTCTTCACACAGTCAGCATTACATGCAGAAATTCAACAACTTTTTGAAGGACCCAATGCAGGTCAATTGCTTTCTTAACTTCCTTTTTGGCCGCGTTACCAATGTGTGGTGGACGTTGTATCCTTGAGTGACCGTTGTATATCCTTATTGACTTCTTTTTCTTTGCTGCAAGTCACACTCCATGTATGTTCTTCATTATCTTTACCTTTACTGTGTCTTCACAATGGGTATAGCCTCATCGTTTAATTTTTCTTCTTCCTTTTGCCTCATCGGCGCTCTTTAAATTTGGTTGTCAACACTGTTGAGTTGTTCGATGTTTAATAAATACTATACACCACACCACCACATTTCGCTCTTGGCCGATCCAAACTCTGCGCTGTAAAGCGACAGTGAAATTACGAGACAAGCGGGAAAGTTCCTCAACAACCATTGCTAGATCGAAATTTAGCAGCATCGGACGCAGCACAGCCCTGACTGGAGTGAATGCCTCGTGGGCCTCTCCGTGTGTCAAGTAGCTGTTTTGCGGCAGAAGATGCTGACTGAAGGCGCAGGCAACATAAGTGTACGTGTTCAACGGGTATGGCGGCGTGGTGTGGCTGTGTGCGACGGGCTGGCAGGACAGTGATTGCCTCAGGGGCATCTGGGTCTGCCGCATGTGTACAAAACTGCTCCTTGGCAGACTTCCACTTCATATTGCATCCTGATGATGGCAATTTGCCAAAACGTTGAAAATGATTCGGTAAAATGAATTGAACTTAGAAGTTGTGACTTCGGCGGTAATAGTCATGAAGTTGATTGTTCCAACTAAGAACACACGCTTCTTGCCGAACTTGACACTTGACTGACTCACGACTGCCATCCGGAGCACACGAGGAGCACGTCGCACCTTCCACTCCGCAAACCTGCAAGAAAGCACCACTCCCTGCTCAATACACGGTGTTTCGGGGAATTCACCCCTCATCGCGGACGTGCGACTAGTTGTTGGAGGTGACAGCGTTGCGAATAGCTATACTGGCTCTCAACGTCTGTTTATCACACTCCATGAGCGACTCTGACTCACGCTGCTACCTGGAGCTTCACGAGGTGTTTGTCGCGCTGGAAACAAAGCGTCTCTGTAAGTTTGTATCCCTGGTGATGGTTTGGCCTGGAGAGCAGTATATAAGTGGTGCTTTTCAGGCACAATCTTCCTCAGCCTACTCAAGCTCAACTGATGAGGGGTGAATTCCCCGAAACACCGTGTATTGAGCAGGGAGTGGTGCTTTCTTGCAGGTTTGCGGAGTGGAAGGTGCGACGTGCTCCTCGTGTGCTCCGGATGGCAGTCGTGAGTCAGTCAAGTGTCAAGTTCGGCAAGAAGCGTGTGTTCTTAGTTGGAACAATCAACAAAATGAATTGAGTTGTGAATTTGCAGTGCCCAGGGAATGAGCATGTGTGCTCACCAATTCTCTTCGAGTTATGAAGCTGCAGGATGCCTCACCGCTACTTCATTAATATTAGAGAGGTTCTGCTACACGGAACTACGTACCAAATTCCGTGTCAACTGCAGTAAAGTTTGACACGGATTTTTCCTACGTTGCAAATTTTGAATTTGCAGTGCCCAGGGAATGAGCATGTGTGCTCACCAATTCTCTTCGAGTTATGAAGCTGCAGGATGCCTCACCGCTACTTCGTTAATATTAGAGAGGTTCTGCTACACGGAACTACGTACCAAATTCCGTGTCAACTGCAGTGAGGTTTGACACGGATTTTTCCTACGTTGCACTGGTTCTGCTGTACGTAGCATGCTCGAAGCATGCACGAACACCCTGCCACATGTACTAGATGTAGCTCTGTACGCTCACTTTTCACACGGAGTCCAGTCTGTGTGAAGCGCGCTTCACACGGAAAATGGTATGAAAAAATCCATATCAAACTAAATCCCGTACCGCGGCAAAGTTTCCATACGTACTTTGGCACGTTTTACCGTGTGGCAGAACCTCACTATTATTATTATTCAACATCATATGCCTCCACTGATGAGCTCGGTAGGAGCGAAACAGCTGTCTGGAAGGCCAATGTCAATATCAATCTATATATCGGAATTGTCCTCGCTGAAGTGATGGTTATGTGAGTGCAGAGTTTGGATTGGCCAAGAGCGCAATGTGGTGGTGTGGTGTATTTAATTCCATAATGGCCGGGTCGTCGCTACTTCTTCTCAACTTAAACGAGAGAGCTTGGAAGCTCAGGGCCCTACGCTATGCTTTTTTGCCTAGCTCATCGTACATGTTATTAGAACTGATGGTCTTCATCATTGTATTGCAAAAACGTGTCAATCAGTTTGAATATGAGTTAAGCAAAAGTATTTGCAGAATTTATTGCGGATCGTTATTTTTCTCTCACTTCATCCACTTTTGGATTTCTCCTTCTTTTCCTTTTGATCTCCTTACAATCGGATTTTCTGGCCTTTTTGTAGTAATACATTGACCTGTTGAGCCAATGAGGTAAAATTATACTCCTTACAATACGTATAGGATATTGACCTCGACTTCGGTCTATATGGGAAATATAGGCCGAGTAAAAGACCGAGGTCCGCCGAGGTCTTTTACGAGCCGGGTCGTCGCTACTTCTTCTCAACTTAAACGAGAGAGCTTGGAAGCTCAGGGCCCTACGCTATGCTTTTTTGCCTAGCTCATCGTACATGTTATTAGAACTGATGGTCTTCATCATTGTATTGCAAAAACGTTTCAATCAGTTTGAATATGAGTTAAGCAAAAGTATTTGCAGAATTTATTGCGGATCGTTATTTTTTTCTCTCACTTCATCCACTTTTGGATTTCTCCTTCTTTTCCTTTTGATCTCCTTACAATCGGATTTTCTGGCCTTTTTGTAGTAATACATTGACCTGTTGAGCCAATGAGGTAAAATTATTCTCCATACAATACGTATAGGATATTGACCTCGACTTCGGTCTATATGGGAAATATAGGCCGAGTAAAAGACCGAGGTCCGCCGAGGTCTTTATCAGTTTGAATATGAGTATGGCTCAATATCCTATTTATCACGATTCCATTGCCATAACCCCAAAGTTTGAACCTTTAGGAGCTATTGTAACCTTTTTTTGTATAGCATTTGTACTATAGTGTACATAGGATGTTGCCTTTTTTGGGTACAAGACTGTAAGAGCAACAGGGTTCAGCATCTGCAGCACAGTGGCTGGGTAGTATAAGGGGTTGCTTGAGGTTCATACTGTTGTGAGTTCGATTCCTGCTTGTTCTCTTCCTTTGTCTTCTTTCTTTCAATTTTCACTTTTTGAAGTGGAGAGAAAATTTCTAAGTCAAAGTCGAAAGATTACAATGCCTAAGTGGTCGATACAAGCGGTCGATATAAGCGGTCGATATTGCGGCGATAAGGGTAATCTAGAACCAGTCAAGGATCACGAGAATTAGTGGAGGTCGATATAGAAGAGTGATAATATGCTATACGGTAACACTGCCAAGTTAGGACCAAGTCAAAGGCAACCCAAACATTCCATGCATCATGTAATACAACAGTGTAACACACAAGTAAAAAACGATCAGAATGTACCAATCAGAATATGCAACATCACAACGAGACCATCAGTGGCAATACGTGAGCAAACTCTACCTTGATGACAATATCAAAGGTGATAACGATAATAGGAGGACAACTGTGCCAGTTATAGTGGATACTGTTACACTGTCCATGGCTATTAAGTAGTTTCTTGCAACTTCTAATTATATTTTGTGTCCCATACATGCACAGATCTCTTCACAGCGCAGTTTCACTCAACCTTCGCTTGTGTGCTCTCAAGTTCCCGAAGGATTTTTCACAAGGCACCATCTTAGGTGGATATAATGTAAAGAATTATATTGCTTCAAGTAAGTATCCCCTTTATACCACATCACAAATCCCAGGGCTTACCATTGAACTTTACACATTCCTTTCATGCACACTTATTGGTCTCCTTTCAGGAAACAGAATCTACTGAAAACAGCGTGTTCTTGTTTGAAAGTACGAACAAGTAATTATTCATCCTGAAGCTATGCAAAAGACAATACTTAGCGTCTGGTGTTAGCCAGGGTTCATACAGATATCGGTGTGATGGGGTGTGTTTCTGGCGTTGGGCATGCCAACCAGAACAACAACAACACATTCTCTGCCGACCAAACTGAGGTAGCGGAGAGTTCCAGCTTGCAGGTAATCGCTCCCAGTCCCCAATGTCCGCCACCCCTCAGCCTAGAGGCACTGGGGCGGGCAATGACGACGAGGCCTGCATTGTTGCCTCTGATGATGCGGATTGGATACCCTGCGCTCCTCGTCGTCGCCGAAACAGCCATGGTCATGTAACATGGAGGAGAAAACCAAGGCCGATGAGACATGGCCCTCCCCTCAGAGGAAACACCCGAAATACTGAGTCCAGATAAGTTTCAACCGCAATAACCAAAAACATACAACTTCCAAAGCAAATACCAATGTTAGTGAATTTGAACTTCCTGAGTACCAATGTGCGTTGCTTATTCAGCAAATTGGACCAGTTACTGTAAATCAACTAATTTTCGCTGGCAATTTAATTTCGCTGATTTCGCCGCTGGGTACCAACCGGCCAAAAGAAATCGCAGCCCAAAAATTGTCATAGAGGCAAATGATGCATTATTGAGCCATTGCTGCATGTAAGGGCAACAAATACCAATCGATTTCTTTTGTTAAAACCCAAATCGGCCAAAGTTAAAGTAGTATAGTAGTATTGACATATCCGCGGCAAGCCGCTTATGTACAACGGCATGGGAGAGGATAACAAAAAATGAAAATATAATTATTGTTGGGGAAATCCACGAATATTGAACAATGACGGGTGTGGGGTTATACCAAATTCCCATAATGTGGAAGTACGTTATTATTGTTGAAAGCACTAGGTGATCTGCACTCTACAATGTGACCTGTGCGATTATATCGTTGAATGATTGCCTGTTCCGAGCCACCAAACGCAGTGTCTCCAGGTCCTTCAGACTCCGGAGACGCATGGACGTTGCCTTAGCTAATTCGTTGTCTATCACCACTGGTAGGGTGATGCGCGGGCGTCCGAGCCAGCCCCGATTCTGTCGCTGGAAATACGCTGTCATGCTCACCTGCGCTGGAGTTGCTTCAGGGAGGCGTAGAATATGACCAAACAGTTTCCACCGTGCTCTTCTGCTTAGTACGGATATTGGCTCGGCATTGCAGCGGGCATATAGGTCTGTGTTGGAGATAATTTCCGGGTAAGATATCCCTAATAGACGGCGGAGCTGCTTTCTGTGGAACGCATCCATTGCTGTAGCATCCCGGGATGAAAGCACCCACACGCCGCAGTTGTAGGTCAAAATAGATAGCACAAATGCATCAAACAACCTCAGGCGGGTTACTTCAGAGATAACTTGTCTCCGCATCCACAGGTTGACAAGTGTGTTGAAGGCAGCTGCGGCTTGCTGGCGCCGGCGCTTGAGGTCTTCTGTGACTCCGTACAGTGAACCAAGCAACCGGGTGGACCTCCATCGTTCCTCACCTCTTCTTGCAACATCCTCTTCTTGGTATAGATGGGTCCACTCGGTCTTGGTAGGGTTGATGTTGAGGTTCCACTCTTTGAACACTACCTCTGCCTCTGTTAGTGCGCACGCTAGATGTTGACAAAGTTAAATGACGGCCAAAAGTTTCCTTTCGAGATCGGCCAAAGTTTCTCATCGGCCAAAATTTGTTCATTCACAGTAGTAGTACTTTATCGGTTCGTCTGACTCTGAATCTCCCAATGAACTATCAGTCAGTGCAGTCCCGGAACCCTGAGCTGACACATCAGACTCTGACAGTCTCTATGCAATCCCAGGCCACAACCTGACCAGAGCTGACAGGCAGCGCTTTGGTGGTGGCGTTGCCTTGTACACAGCGGAATGTTCTAACCACAAGTGTACTGGAAATCCCAATGACAGAAGCAGACAGCGTATGGACGGGAAGTTCCACCCATGAACTTTCCCTCGTCATTTCCATCATTAATTTAACCGACCAGCCCGTAGCGATGGCACCCTCTTTTGTGCAGAGCTGGAAAGCAACTTTAAAGCTGCTAGAACCGGAGGTGACCATGTCCTACTACTTAGAGACTTCAACGCCAAGAACAGTGAGTGTCTCACCACAGACAGAACAGATCACCTTGGGGACGACACACAAACTCTTCTGCACACATACGAACTCACACAACATGTCAGGTTCCCTACTTACATTCACCGACAAACACCTCTCTCATGCCTAGACCTTGTTATCTCCTCATTTGAATTTTAACAGCAATGATGTTCATATCCAATCACTTCCAATGTTTGGCGCATCCGACCAAACTACTATCAGTGGCCCATCAATATTCAACTGCCCCCTTAACTCCCCTCCACAATCCAGAAGCACCACATTCTAGTCATGGGCTGACAGCACTACCCACCTTCTTCCAGCAGCCCTTTCACGCACAGATCTCAAGCACCACCCTAAACCAACATGACCCATGCCCAGTTGACACATTCTGGCTATCCTGGCGCGACAAAGTCCTGACCATCGCTCAAGAACACTGCCAAGTTACGCGCACTCCCCCCCCCCCCCTTCGGACAAAGGGGTCGTGCCAGCATTACCATGAATATCAAAGGGCCGCTTGAAAAAGATCAAGGATAAGCACAGAAAATACAGAATACACCTTCACTAATGCTCACCCGACGACTAGAAAACGTTCACTGGCCAAAGAAACCATGTTACCACTCTCCTGCGTCGTGCAAAATCGGATTTCGTAAACAACTCAATAGCCTCCTCTACTTCCCTACACCGCCTCATGAAGCACCTAACTACAGCTACAAAACAACGCATACCCGAACTAGTGAGCCAAGCAACTCCTGCAACGACACCAGCACAAAAAGCCGCTACCCTCAACGAATTCTTCTTTTTCACAGAGCAAGCTGTGATCTGGACGGAGGCGGCGTCCGTGTACCCTTGGGTTACAAGGGCCTCGGCAACATCCACTGTCTTGATACCGGCGAGACTGGTGAAAACTAATGTGTTGGCCTTCATGTCCTCTCGGATAAGTGATTTCCACCGTGGCTCGCCATTACGGGCAGCAGTACTAATGTTGTGCCCATGGTTGGGGTCTGGTACCCCAGGTAAGCCTCAATCCGCAGAAATCTAAGGAAAAACTCGGAGCACCAAAATCTGCTTCCTACTCCTACTCATTTGTTGTTGCTATTGCCGTTGCTGCGGCTGCTGCTGTTGTTGTTGTTGTTGTTGTTGTTGTTGTTGTTGTTGTTGTTGTTGTTGTTGTTGTTGTTGTTTTTTTTTTTAAATCTTTATTCTCATGATGGCACCATCGCCAATAAGAGATAAGTTTATGAGAAGGTGAGATGCTGTGGGTGGGGCTGTGGGTTATGCAGTTGGAAAGTGATTTACATCACTTTGAATTTTACAAGTATGGGAGAGGTTGAGCGCTGCAGGTGCAGATTGAGTTAATCAGCAGTGAGCAGATTTTTTGTTTGAAAGCAGGTCGGGAGGAGACGTCACGAATGCTAGCAGGGACGGCATTGTAGTATTCTAGGGACTTGTACAATGGGGAGTCTTTACAGCTAACGGTTCTGGTGGGTGGGAGGTGCCAAGTGCGTGCGTGTCGAAGGCTACACTGGGTCGTTACTTGAGCTGGGTGTTGAGCATGCGTATGTGTTGTGGGGCATATTGGTATTTTATGGAGTGTGCAAGAGGGGTGAGCTTCACTTTGCGGCGAGAGAACATCGTCGGCCATTTGAGCCGATGGAACAGTGTTGAATGATTCAGAGAGCTGTAGAGGGGGGGGGGGGGGGCAGAGGCAATTTCTGGCCGCCTTGCGCTGGATTCGCTCAAGACGGTCCAGGACTGTGATTGATGGCGGGCTGACAGCAGTGCATGCATATTCAATTATAGGAAGGATATATGTTTTTTAATGAGGGAGAGTGATTTAGTGTGTAGAGTTTATTTGAACTTAAAGAGAATGTCTCGGCAAGGTAGTCGATGATTGCCTAGCGTACGACGACGACTTTCTGTCGCATGTCAGCCACGTGCGCGAGATTCTGCTCTGCGCCAGGGAGCATGGTATCACGTTCAGCCCCGCCAAGTTTGTGTTCGGTACGCAACGTGTCCATTTCTGCGGCTACGTCACGCCTGATGGCTGGGTCGTCGACGATGATAAGACGTCCGGTTTTCGCCAGTTTCCAGCACCCGCCAACAGAACCGATCTCCGTTCGTTCCTCGGTCTTGTGAACCAATGTGGCGAGTTCACTCCACATCTAGCCGAGTTGACCAATCCTCTGTGTGGCCTGCTCAAGACCTCCCTTGAGTTCATGTGGGACGCTAGCCACACTGCAGCGTTTGAACGGAAACAGGAAGCTCTGTTGTCTCCTCCGGTTCTCGCTTTCTATCAAGTTGGTCAAGACCTCCGGCTTGAAACCGATGCATCCGCTCTAAGAGGTCTCGGATTCGTGCTTTGGCAAAAGCAGAATGATCAGTGGCCAATTATTCAGTGTGGATCCCGCTACCTGTCTGATGCTGAAACACGTTATGCTGTCATCGAGTTGGAAATGCTCGCTGTAGTATGGGCCGTGCGCAAATGCCACATCTACCTGTCTGGTGCGCCATTTGAAGTAGTCACCGATCACAAGCCCCTGATTCCGATCATCAACTCATATTGGATCAGATCGAGAACCCACGTCTTCTACGATTACGCCTCAAGCTCCAAGCCTATCAGCTGCAGGCATCTTGGCGAAAAGGTTCTGAAAATGCCTTCGCCGATGCGCTGTCCCGGAATCCTGTTGGCATTCCTTCCACCACTGATGAGCTTGGTGAAGCCCCGTCGCTTCAT